ATGTCGGTTCTTCCTTTCAACAACGCCATTCTGTTGCGGTGTTTTGGCACACAAGCTTCTATGATGAGATCCATGAAAGGAGAAAAGCTCAGCTAAGTCATGATGGAAATATTCCTTCGCAATATCCGATTGGAAATTTTGGACTTCAACATGAAATTGAGTGAAAACCATGCGATGGAAATCTTGCACAATCTTGGGTACTTCTTCTCTCGAATGCATAGGATGTATCCAAGTGTATCTCGAATAATCATCAATGAAGTTGATAAAGTACTTGTACCCACCCTTAGTAGGTATGTTTACAAGACCCCAAACATCAAAAAAGACAATATGGAAAGGCAAAGTAGGTTTTTTATTATTTGATGGAAAAGTTATTCTACAATGCTTACTCAACTAACATGTTTGACAATGTAAACTAGTGATAGACACAGACTTAAACAATTCGGGGAACACAACTTTCAAAGACTCAAAGGACAAATGACCAAGGCGATTATGCCACAACCATGGTTGACTTTTCGTAGATTGACTCATAAGACTCACAGGAGCCGATGCCGCAGGACCAGCTTTATTCTCCAAGATGTAGAGGCCATCAACCATACTTCCTTTACAAATCATCCTCCCCAAGGTTAAATCCTAGGAAACACAAGAATGAGGAAAAAAGGTTACGCAACAGTTTAAGGATTGAGTAATACTGCTTATAGATAACAAATTAATAAGAAGTTTGGGAACATGAAGGGCATGGGGTAAAACAAGGCCATCAGGAAGGGATACAGATCCCTGACCAGCAATGGTGGATAGAGACCCATCAACAAGTCTCACTTTATCCCTTCTAGAGAGAGGAGTGTAGGTCTAAAAAAAATTTTGACTTACCAGTCATATGGTTTGATGTCTCTGAGTCAATGATCCAAGGTGACTCGGGAGCAGAGGTACACACATGAAATGCAGAAGCACCTTTACTTGATGTAGAAGCAAATGAAGTAGAAGGGGTAGGAACTAACCTATCCATTTGCCCGAGAGTCCTACCATACAGTTCCAAATGATCTCTGAAGGAGTTGATGATGTCTTCCTTGGGATCAGAACCACTAGGATGCTCTTGGGAAAAACCAGTAGTCTGATTATTTTGTTGGTAATCTTGTGCGGCCAAATGTGCAGAAATAAATTTCTTCTGAGGATGCTTCTTTGAAGTGTCTTGATTCTTGCTTGCCCACTTTGGCTTCCCTACTAGCTCCCAACAGGTTTCTCAAGTGTGTCTAGGCTTTTGGTAGTGAGTACACCACAGTTTGTCCTTGTCCTCACCTTTCCTTGATTCTCCCTTTTTCACTCCAATGTTACCCCCTCTTGTAGCCAGGGCAACAGGTTGCTCCCCCTCAAAAACATTCATGAGATTTTTCTTGCTCTCTTCAGATTGGACTAGGGCATATACTTCCTGAACTGAAGGCAAGAAAGAAAAAATCCGCTGTTGGGAGACAAGTTTTTTGTAGGCTTGTGCATCTTCACCATTCTTCCACTCAATAGTCTGATAATAGTCCAGTTCCTTCCAGACATATGTAAGGGCTGAATAATATGTAGATAGGCTATGGTCCCCTTGCTTACAAGTAGATGATTCTGCTTGAAGCTGATAAATCTTGGCAAAGTGTCTCTGTTCAAAATAGGTTGCCTTGGCTTGTTCCCAAATTTCACAAGCTGTGTCAGCTCATATGAATTTTTTTCTTTACATGAGGAGCATTGAACCTAACAGCCATGACATAACCATGCTGTTTTCTTGATCCCATCGATCATGTTCGGCATTACCAGACTTTGGTTCTTTTATTTTTCCACTTATGTAACCAGCCTTCCCCCTAGCTGTGATATACAGTTTGATGCCTTTGGACCATTCCAGATAATTTAGGCTATTAAAGGGGGTAATAGACATAGAGAAAGACGTGCTATCCATTCCCCCATTTAGGTTTCCCTGATGGGAAGTAATACCAGAGGTTGCTGAATCCTCAGTAGCCATTTTCCTCAAAAAAAAAAAAAATTTACTGCTGATTTTTCAAAAAACCAAACTGAGATAGAAGGTTTGTACTTCTGAGATTTAAGAAGGCTCCTAATATAGGTTCAGCTGGACTGTAGGTCAATAAACCTTAGCCGAAACACTTCAGTTTATAAGAGAAGGAGAGAACCAGCCCCTACAACCTCAAAACTGTGACATTCACAGTGGTCATACACTTACATATGAATGTAAACAGTACATACCTGGCTTCCATGACCTACAGTCCATAGAGAAACCTTGGAAAAAACTCCTTACTGCATTCGGCTGCCACCACAAACCTAGGAAAAACTCCCTACTGCATTCGGCTTCCACAACAGACCTAGAGAAAACCCTTACTGCATTCGGCTGCCACCACAAGCTTCTTCTTGGTACAGCAACCAAGAGAGAAGAAAGAAAAAAATGAAGACTGAAGGTTGCGCCCAGATGAAGAACACGATGGAGTCTTCACCTCCTCTTCCAATCAAAAAAAAAAAAACCAGATGAAGAAACACGATCTGAGAAGGTTGTGCCCAGATCAGTGCTCTGATACCATGTAGTTCGATAGTACTGAAAGAGAGAGAAAAAAGGAGAAGTAAGAGAGGAGAAAGAGAGAAGAGAAAAATAATTCTATTCAATCATATGGCTGGCAGTGCCTAATTTAGTATTTATACTTAGGGTGACAGCTTATAACAAATAACATAGGAAAAGCCAGAAATGCCCCTACTAGGCCGCCACATGTTACAACAAGGAAGATGCAGGAGTTTCTGTGGAAAGGATGGAGGGATGAGAAGAAAAAACTCATGTTGGTTAGCTGGTCCAAGGTTTGCAAACCCAAATCTCAGGGGGGCCTGGGTGTGAGAAGAATGAAGGATCTCAATTCTGCTTATTGGGGAAGTGGCTTTGGAGATTTGGGGAGAATCAAGGTGGTTTGTGGAGAAGGGTGATAGCAGCCAAATATGGTTATGGGATCTCTGGTTGGGTCACGGGTGAGCTAAACCAATCCTATGGATGCTCAGTCTGTAAAGGGATTGGGAAAACTTATGGTCCATTCTCAAATGGAATTATATTTAGGATTGGGATGGGAGGCGAGTTCTTTTCTGGAAAGATTTATGATGTGATAATAGACCATTAAGGGTCTCTTCCCCTACCCTCTTTGAAGTAGCAGCAGATAAAGATGCTCTGGTTTCAGACTATTTGCAGGTGCAATGTGGAAGTACTGTTTGTCTCCTATCTTCAGGCGAAATCTGAATGATTGGGAAGTAGAATCACTAGTGGAATTGCTGCATTTGTTGTACAGCACCCCAGTGGAATTAGGGAGAGAGGATAGAAGAGTTTGGAAGTGGGAGAAGTCAGGGGAATTTTCGGTTAGGTCCTTCTACAACTATTTTTCCAGATCAGAGGATGAGCCTATCCCAGTTAAGTCTGTATGGTGTAAGGGTGTGCCCACAAAGGTGGCATTTTTTGTATGGACAGCCTACTTGAACAGGATCTTAACTAGGGACAATCTGGAGAAGAAGGGTATGCTGTTAAACACAACTAACTGTCTGTGTGCTTTGTCAGTATCAGACCGAGTCAGTAAACCACCTGCTACTCCACTGTGTTTTCTCCTGTGAGGTCTGGAACAAAGTCAAGAATTTATATGAGGTGAACAGTTTCTGCTCTGAACCAGTGGCAGATTTTGTGAAGAGTTGGAGAGTCAATGGTCTAACTAAAGAGGGCAAATTGGCTTGGAATCTGACTCCTGCTGCGGTTTTCTGGTGCATGTGGCAGGAGAGGAATGCAAGGATTTTCAAGAACCAACACAGCTCCTCATATACAGTATTTCAGCAAGTTATGGGGAAAATGTTTTCCTGGTTAGCAGTAAACAATGTTTTCAAGGACAGAAATTTTAATTCCTTTTTTGTGGTTGGGAATCTTTTTGTAAATCAGGGTTTGGAAGTCTAGCTCTGCTGGTGCAGTTTTTGTAAATCCCTGTGTACAGCTCCCTGTTGTACATGTTTTGTCTTAATGAAATTTTTACTTTACCTGTTTCAAAAAAAAAATTGTTTGATGTATTATTAGCAAAACTCTTCATATAAACTATGAAATTGTGCATTTTTGTGTTTATACCTTATCATAATTATTTCAACCTTAAATTCATGCTCACAAAAGAAAACCTTAAATTTAGTGCTATTGATGTATTTATGAGATTTGCAAGAGTTTCCCTAATGTCTCCAAGTGTATCCATATCACTCCACTGTATCCATGCATACCCAAAACATATCCATATCCAAGCTTTCCTAATATGATACACAATACTGATATTTTGAGCCTCGGTTTCCCCAAAAAAAGAACCTCGGTTGGAGGAAACGTTAAAAAGACATTTCTTGCACCTGGGGGGAATTTCCACTTTAAGTTGTCCTGTGATGCCTAATGGCGTCTACATGTTTGAAGCCATAATAAACTGTACAGTGTGTTTTGTGCCAAAACATCTTACTTTTTCTATTCCTGATATCAGGATTCAAGCTGAAACATTTCATCTTGAAACACTTTTTGAGTAATGTTATGAAGCAACATAAAGGTGCATTTTCTTTTTATCACACAAAAGATTTTTTTTGATAAGAAAATTACCTTGTGACTTTTCCATTCAAGCAGCTGCAACCATGTGAAATTATCATAGCAGGCTTTCTTGTTCATTAAGGTGGCAGTGGTGCTAAATCTCTAAATGTATAACATTTCAATATAAACATCACATGATTTTGACAGCACGGATTTTCTGCCACTCCTGCCAACTTGGATTGAGTAACTGGAAATCATTATGCCTGGGTTGTTGTCAACAAGAAGTTTACAAAACCTTTTCCAATTTCTTCTGTTTCATAATAATTGGTTCACACTTTGCAGTATGTACAGTTCAGTTGTATTCTAATGGTAGGTCATGTGCATTTCATTCTTATTGGATAATAATTATCTCATAATATTTATAATTGTTATCTATTCCTGATTTACTTTGTAGGGTGAGAGAGTTCAGGAGATTCTCAGAGAAAAGTGATGTCTATAGTTTTGGAGTATTCTTATTGGAATTAGTAAGCGGACATGAAGCTATGCAATCACGGTCCTCAGAATCTGGTCGAAACATGGTTGAATGGGTATTTAATTTAATGTTCTTCACATTCATCTAATAGTCAGATAGTTCTAGGCAGCCATTCAATACATATGTTTAGGAGAATGTTTAACATCCTAAGTGGGAGGTTTGTGTATTCCCTCCTACCCTGCTGGAAGTGGTCCATGTAGGCAGATACTTTTGTAAATATGCATTTAGTGAACAGGTACCATCTTCTAAAATCCCTGTTTTTAGAAGATTGGCCATGCCATAGAGTCAGAAAACGAGATTTAACACCTATTGAATCAGCTTAGTTTCAGGTTTTCTGATAGTACCTTTTCTTCATTTCTGATAAGAAATAAAAAAGGCTGGTTTTCTGTGTTCATTGCAAGCATGTTGTTTAAAAAAGAGCCAACTACTGCAACCTATGGGATTCAGTTCCTTCTATTGCTTCTGTCTTGCCAGGCGCATAATTACGATGACTCCAGCAATATTTCAACCATCATTGATCAGAGATTGGGCAATAGTTTCACAACTGAAGGCATGAAAGAGTTCATACAGTTGACAGTGCGGTGTGTGGACCCTTCTAGGGAGAGGAGGCTGACCATGAGCTATGTGGTAGGGGAACTTGATCGGATACTTGAGAAAGAAATGAGCTTGACAACAATCATGGGAGAGGGTACCACAACAGTGACTCTTGGTAGTCAGCTGTTTACTTCATCCAGATAAGAGAGACAACATAGGGGTCATTGCTTGGTGCAGTGGGAATGCAGATTCAAGGCTGAGGCTGAGAGCAGCCACTGTGTGCAAAAGGGGGGCAAGCCAAAGATTATGTCCATATCCAGTATACTCCTCCCAAGAACCTGAGTAGCCAGGATTATTAATGGGTAATGACCCTTCAGATAAGAGTAGCTGCCCTTCAACTGTTGATGGGTTCTTTGTGATTTTTTTTTCTTGTTTTTCCAATGTAGAATATAATTAGGGGTGCAACTTGGGTTGGGTTGGGTTTGGAAAATATTAAATTTTCAATGGGCCTGGACCCTAATCCGAGCCTGATGTAGTTAAAATTCTTCAAATCGGGCAACCCCAGTTGCAGCCTTAAGTATAATATCCAGCTGTATGATAACTGTATAGAGGGACAGCTGATTTTTCTTTTCTTTCATTTTTTTTAATTCTTCGTTTTATTTTTTTCCACTCATAATTGTACGAGATATCATGCTATTATATGTTACTTGTTAATATCACATTGAGAATAGGGGTTGCTATGGATTTCAGTAATAAGTTGCTGATTTGATTTCAAGTACTAAGTTGCAATGTTTCATCAAAGGTTTAAAAAAGTCTTTTATCGCATTCCTCCACAGGTGATAGGGGTTGCTTTCGTGTTTCAGCATTGAGTTACATTATTCGTGGTTTTAAACCAGTAAATCATGGTTCAACAGCCAAGAATTACCCCTTTTGTGTGAGGGTAAATTTATTATGCATGGAAGACATGATGCTGAAAGAGTTTTGACCAATCAACAACCCTCCCTCCTATGAGTTCTGATGAATACAATGTGATTGGTTGGTGATCAGTTATAAGTTTTCCCGTATCATAGTCGAACCTTTCATGTATAATGAGTCAGATGATTGATATATATATATATATATATATAATTAAAAAAAAAGGAAAAATCTGTGATACCAGAAAGATATTGTACCAAAAGAGATTTGACCAATCAAACACTCTTTCCCTTTGACTGGTACAAAGTTTTTCCGGTATTAGAATCTAACACCATAAAAACATAAAGAAAAAAAAAAACTCATTTCCATTGTCTAGTTTAAAAGGGTCCGAGTATGTTATGGAAAATCTCTTGTAATGCCATGTTTGCATCAATTACCCGATTTACTATAATAACCGGTAACTAGTTTTTTCGGTAAACTCTCAATTAACCTGGTATAGAATATGAAACTTCCGTCGATTACAGTCAAAAATATATATATATGAATTTTTTTCAACACCTCCCCATGTCAGCCAAACAATAATAATATTATACTGTTATACCCTTCAGCGCAATTCAAAACAGGAGAGTCCGTGTTCTGTGCACCCATAAGGTGCACTGAATGAATGCACCCAGCCCGTTAACACGAGTTCGGCGGATCAACCGAACACAAATAACATTTCTCAAATGCTCCCATCTCTTGGCCATGAGGCTTCTTCCATAGTCAAAGAAGTCTTGTCTGCAACTATCAGACACGGCCTTGAGAATAGCATGAGATCATGAATGAGCTGTGTGACCCAGCATGAGATCATGATCTACCGGGGAATAGCATGAGATCATGATATACCAGAGTTGTAATCGGTGTATATTAAGGCCAATAGTAAGCCAGGTCATGAATGAGCTTCCCTCCGCTCCGGTTAACCACCGTTTCCCAAATAAACCCATCTGAATTATTTGGGGAGGTTACGAGCTCTATGTAAGGTTGATCGCCTTTATACGTGTATGCGTCGCCGGCCCATCTGTAGAACCCAAACTTTAAGAAATCTGTGACCGCCGGATAAGACTGCAAGGAAGAAGCAATCCAACGCAAATTAATTAACAACTTGATTAATCAATGAGCATAAGTATAGTAAATTAAGGCCAAAACTTTTTTCCTTTATTTTTTTTAAATTTCTTTGGCCACAGAAACTTTATAAGCACTTGATAACATGATGGTCTGCACGTATGTACCACTAATTTTATTCCCTCAAGGTACTAATCCACCATTAGTTAACCTAAACTAGAGAGAGAGAGAGTCTGTATGGAAAAAGAGAGGGAGCATGAGACACGGTCACTAACGTCCAATGAGGTCCCGAGAGAGAGAGAGAGAGAGAGAGAGAGAGAGAGAGAGAGAGAGAGGGAGCATGAGACACAGTCACTAACGTCTAATGAGGTCCCAAGATAAACAATGCTGAAGAAGAAGAATTGTAAGTAAGTATTGAACAATTATGATGGCTTAATTCAAATCTCAACAATAATATCATCAGATGGGTCATTCTCTTGTAAGCAAGTCTGCTAGTTATCTAGAAACAAATGATACACGCCGTTAATTCACAGCTAATGTATAGAGTGAGATTGTGAGAAAACTCACCGAATAGTATGGAACGGCTGAAACGACGTTGATTGGCTCTGCTGAATCGGGAGATGATAATGCATAGAGCGCTGCCTGAAAGAGTTGTGTTGAACCAGTACCAACCACGATGTAACGACCTTCTGTTTCAGTGTTGGCCACCAAATGATGCAAGCGTCTGATCTCTTCCGCTAATTCCGACTCCAGAAACCAGCACAAGTTTGTAATGTCGGAGACGTAGCTTAGCCATTGCCAAACGGAGATCACCACTGTGCACTTGTCCCCCATCTTCTGCCAATATGGCTCGGACATTTTTGGATCACCACTGTTAACAAAAGTCAAATAAAAAATACCGCCAGGCGTCAATCCGAGAATATGAAATAACTATAGCCTATGACGATCTACATATCAAAAACCCAACTTCAACTGTAATTGAAAATGATGGGGAGCTTATGCCGTTTTGTTTTGCTTGGAAAGCAACAGAAGAAGGGGAAGAGTGGCCGTTAATGCGCACCTCCTGCTCGGTACCAGGCATCTTTCTTCTATTCTCTGTTTAGTTACCGTTACACGCGAAAACAAAAAACTTCTGAAAACTCGAACAAGCGTTGAAGAGAGATATCATATCCATAAATCAAATCACTGTTTCTCGATCACATACGGTTGCTTACCTCTTGCTCCCAACCGTCTTTGATTGTTAGAGGCCCAACCCGACCAAACCGATCAACCCAACCCGAGTCAGTCGGGTTTTCATCAGCACGGGTCGGTTTTGGGTTTTGCAAATTCCTAAATTAATGATTCGGGTTGGTTTCGGTTTTCACACAAGAAAACCAAAACCGACCTGAACTGAACCGACTTAGTTCCTAGTTCAAACATGAAGTTCCAAAGCCCATTAGGCCACCTAGTTTTTGAATGGTTGCAAGAAACTTTGGATTAGTGAATAGTGATTAATGAACAACTTTTGTGATTAACTTTTCATTTAAATTTTATCATAAGAGATGGCTGAAATGATGTTCAATTTATGACTATTTTTTAAATTAGCAAGATTTTATCACAGGGATGAACTTAGAACCCAACCCGACTCAAATCGACCAGGTCGGTTTTGCTTAACACTGGGTCGGTTTTGGTTTCTATGTCAAATAACCCGACAAGGTCGGGTCGGTTAGAAAAATCGCAGTAAACCGACCCAACCCGACCCGTGAACAGCCCTATTAGAGGCCCCCTGTGCTAGAGGCTTCGTCCCTTTGATTGTCAGAGGCTCCCAACGGAAGCGAGCTTTCCCAGCCATCGTACACCCCCCATCTGCCGGAGTGGCTTCTGAGTGGCGTTTAACGATGAAGACATTAACGTCTTTCTTATCTTGTAATGAATTTCTTTTTTAAAATAGATTTAAATGGTTGTTTTTGAAACAGGTTATCCCAGATAACCGGTATTCACTGAAACATAGAAGTGGAATGTTGATTGGTCCATGTCATCCGATATGATATGGAAAAGATACTTTTTCCGTATCATAGATTTTCTTAGTTTAAAATTGTATTATCATATTTGGAGAACATATGTTGGCTCCATTTGGTTTGTGGGATGGGATGAGAAAAAGTGAATATTTCAAAAATATTCATTTTTTTCTCATTTGTTTTGAGGGAAATATAGGGATGGGATGAGAAAAATGTGGGATTTCAGATCCTAAAATCGTGGAATCGGGGTCGTATCAAAACCGTGTGACCTCGGTGGAAAATCTTGAGAAATCATTGTTACTGTCGAACTGGCAAAAAACCACCTTCTTCTTCACCAAATGCTGGCAAGGAACCAATGTGAGGGGCAGCAGCGATATCCCTTCATCTTCCTCTTCTCTCTTCTCCCTCACCCTCTTCTCTCTTCTGTGAGGGGCAACGGCGATCTATGAGGAATCTGCGAGGGGCAGTGGCAATCTTCACCAGATATTGTCTCTCCCTCCATCTTCCTTTTCTCTCTTCTCCCGTATCTTCCTACTCTTTCTGTCTTCCTCCCTTTCTCTGATTGCCGCTGCAACTCTCAGCAGCAGCGATCTGCTTTCTCAACTCTCGCTGCTGCAACTCATGGAACTTTATTCTTCATCTTACATGAATATGGCGAAGAACCAACCTATTATAGTGTTTTTCCTATTATTTTCCCATATATAAAACCAAACAATGAAAAGGTAAATTTTTACACTTTTCCATCCCACCCAAATCTTCCCACAAACCAAACAGAAAAAAAAAAAAAAAAAAAAAAAAAAACTTTTTTTATGATACTTGTTGGAAACACACACACAAAAAAAAAAAACTTTTCTTTTTTTATGATACATTTTAACATGAAGAAATTCGGTATCACCTCTTTTATGATACTGGTTGATTGGGTGCAAGTTTTTCCAGTATCATAATCGAACACCAGGAATAATAATAATAAAAAAAAAACTCATTTCCATTGTCTTAGTTTAAAATGTATATTCATATTTGGAAAAAAATAATATATTTTTTCGAACCATATCATATCCTTTTCAAAACCATGAATCGAAGGCTACGAAAAATTTTGATGGATGGCTAGTCTCATCATTAGATATGTGTTAAGTCTGGTTACGCCATCTACCCTGAAGCTAGTCTCATTGAAGCAACTCTTTTTGTTTGCTCCCTATACTTGGTAAATGTTATTTTTGAAACAGTCTCTCAACAGTTAATAAACTCTGTTAATGTTGTGGATTCTAGTGGCCATCAATATATTTTTGTTTCTGTGTATGGACTTCAAAGCTTTGAGTGAAGGTAGATCTTTTAAGGTTGTTTGGACTCTAAGAACTTCAAATCATGTAGCTCATGCTGTAGCGAGTGCAGGTCGACTGTCGGCGGAATTTTGCTTTAGCAAGGTGATTCCTCTGTGATTGGGTGATCATCTTGTTGTGGATGATCAAAAGGATAGTGTCAATAGCAGTATTATATGTTGTTTTTTTTCTCAATGTTGCTTCAAAAAACCAAGGGCAGCATGTAGGTTTAAAAAATTCAGCAAAACAGGTTTCCTCTGGCACTCCAGCTTATTTGTGTAAAATGGGTCGTGCTTGCTAGGAAATGGGGTCTTTGAAAATTGAAGGAGAAGTTCTAAGGCACGTTTGAAGACAATGTCTTTAGAACATTATTTGCTTTCATTCAATTTCACTGAGTTTGTTGTTGGGTTAAAGGCAAATCCGTTCYTAGGATACAACAAAGCCTTGGACGAGAATCTGCAACCAACAAAGTTGAAGAGTCTCTGAAGAAACCTTCTATGAGACAATAGCAGATCGGACTGAGAGAGAAAGAGAGAAAAAAAAATGATTTTCGAAATTGTGTGTGAAATGCTTGATTCACGCTCCTTAAATAGTTTCTGAAGAGTTATGGAGCAAAGGAATGTGCTAGTTCAGAAAAAAAAGGCACCTTGAACGATCACAATTTCAAACATTGTGACTGTTTAAAAGGTAGTTATTGATTAATGACTGTTAACTTTGAATTGTGCCTCTTGATCACACCTGATCGAATCATGACCGTTGATCACATCAACGGTAAGCATCGCACCAAAAAGCCAAAGCCGCCCTTCACAAGCAAAGTGCACCTCTAAAGCGCCTCATTGTGCCATATACGCGTGCGCATGCGTTGTGCGGTAACAAACCTCCATACTCTCATCTTTATYTCTAAGGAGTGTAAATGAGCTACTATTTAAATACTCAAAACAAGTTGTAATTTTCCAATGTGGGACAAGTTAAAACTGGTTTTAGTAAGAGAAAACACTATTTTTCAAAACATGTGTGCATGTGTAATTTTTCATGTAATTGATCAATCAAACGCCATTGGATTTAATTTCTAATGAGATTAAAATCCAACAATGCCACATCGGCACAGTCCACCAACTATAGTGATAGGACGCACGAGACATGGCATGCCAACCCTATCACCTGCCAACAAAATAAGTTCCAACACTCTACCAAGAGTTCATATCTATGCTCCATCGGGTGCCCCACATGCACATGCATGCATTGAAAACATCTTATGAAATTATCATTAGGAGATGTTTCCAATACACGGTTGAAATGTTTTGTGGGGCACCCATGGATTGTAGATGTGAATTCCCCTGTCAATATGATCTTACACTATAATTTATTATACATAATGGATAGGTCTTAATCTCATGGTGAGGAGTTCAAGGGGCGCCCCACAATGTCCCACAGCACAGTCTCTTGGTGTATTGGGAACATCTCCCGATGATGATATCACCAATTCTAATATTATCATTGGAAAATATTCTCAATACATGGTGAGGATGTGTTGTGGGACATTGTAGGGCGCATATTTGAACTCCATAGTGAGATATATATAGGGTGTCAAATCTTGTTGGTAGGTTGTTGGAAGGTGTTTTATCGAAGAAGATCCAATTCCTTGAATCAAACCCTTCTAACTTCTTACCCCCAAAAGAATCCTTCTATCAAAAAAATTGCAAAATCAAAACCTCATTTAGTCTCTTAAATCAAACAAAAAATATGAACCCCTCATTTGAGCCCATAATCATAAAATTTTAAGTGTATATCTATAATTTTTCAACCGTATGATCATTGTTCAACAGTTATAAAAATGCCTAAAACATTGAAAATTCTCATGCTATCCTACATGAAGCATAGAAATTTGTAACTTTAACTAAACCAGAAGTAAAATCAGTTTATTACACCTTACAGATCTCTCTTTCTCATATAGTCATATACATCCTTTTTGTTTATATATCTTTTTAGTTGTTTAGAAAGAAAAAAAAGGGTAAATTTCTTAAACTACCCTTATGGTTTAGTTAATTGACTAAGTGTATCCTTATTGATTGAAAATTGACTAACACTACCCCTACTGTTTTTGACAATTGACTAATACTTCTTTTATCATTAACATAACGATGAAAAAGATTAATTTACCCTTTATTCTTCTTCAAATTTTCAAAATAAAACAAAGAAACAGGAAATCAAAACCCTAACCGCATTTACGGGGACACATTTGGAGCTGGGCAAATATGGGTGACCCAGTGTAGAGTTGTTAACTGGGTGCTGGGTGCAGAGGGGTTGTCAAGCAAAGCCATCGCTGTTCAACCCAACCGGCGAATTCAGGGCCATTTGGCGCTGCCGAGCTTAATCCGCCCACCACCAACACCACCATAGTCTTCCTCTTTGCTAGTTGTGCCACCTTTACTACCATAACTCCACGGAATTGTGAGTTATGATCAAGAGCATGCATCGCCACCCCACACATCATCTAGAAGCTTTGACTTGTTTGTTAAGCAACAAGCACCTCTGCCCCCATGCCCTCTACCAGCCCCATCAATACCGTGCAGAGTGCCATTTGTCTGAGCAGGGGGAGCGCCAGCCAAAGCTGTAGTATTGATTGTGGAACCACTAAGCAGGCTTGTGTTGTTTGCTTTCAAAATAAATGACACATTCTTGGTGGGTGTTTTGAGCTAACAAAGATGATGGGCCACCAGAATCCTCTGCTCTCGTCACTCTGTTCTTCGTCGAAGACCATGTGGCAGCTATCAGAGAATATAGGGGGAGGATTGAATATGAGCTCAGCAAAATCTGCGATGGCATCCTACGTCTACTTGAGTCACACCTCATCCCTTCATCATCAGCTGTAGATCGAAGGTGTTCTACCTTAAGATGAAAGGTGATTACCACAGGTACTTGGCTGAATTTAAGACTGGCGCTGAGAGGAAGGAAGCTGCTAAGAGCACATTGTTGGCTTACAAGTCTGCTCAGGACATTGCTCTCGCCAAATTGGCTCCCACTCACCCAATAAGGCTTGGGCTTGCACTCACCAGATTGTACTTGGCTGAATTCAATCCTCCCCATATATTCTCTGATAGCTGCCACATGGTCTTCGACGAAGAACAAAGTGATGAGAGCAGAGGATTCTGGTGGCCCGTCGTCTTTCTCCTTACAGATTCGATAGGTGGGTGTTTCCATCACAATAGACACATTCTTGCTGAAACTAAAATCTCCACTAATGTTGATGGTAATTGAACATCCAGCAAACGAGAAATTGAAGGATGAACAAAGAACTGCCGCAAATGCATCTCTGTCTTGATGATGAACAGAGAACTGTCGCTGCAACTTCTAGCAGTGGCGGCTCAAATGCATCTCTCTTCTCTCGTTCTTCCTCTCCCTCTCTCTCGTTCTTCCCCTCCACCTCCAACCTCTCTCTCTCCCCCCTTTCTTCTCTCTTGTCACAGTTAGTTATTGGAGGAGTTTCAATGGACAAATGATTTGGAAGTGGACTTTGGGGTTTCTGACTGGGCATCAGAGGTTCCAGCGGCGAAGGTTGGCAGTGGCGGTACGAGCACCGGTTTTCCCTCTTTTATTCTCGTTGTCATTGCCACTTTCGCTTCCAGTACCAGCACCGGTCTTGGTGGAAATGCATCTCTGCCAGAATTCCCGGCCATTCAAAGAAGGGGAGAGAGAAAGGGGGAGAAAGATGAAGGGTAAAATTGGATTTTAAAAAAATATATTAATGGACTTTGTTGGAATATTAATGGACCTTATTGATAAGGATAAAGTTAGTCAATTCTTATAAATAATAGGTAGTATTAGTCAATTTTCAAACCGTAAGGTACACTTATTCAATTAGCTAAATTATAAGGGTAATTTAAGAAATTTATCAAAAAAATTGTTTTTGATTTATTATGACATCATTTCGTTGCGGAAGACAACAGGGAGGAGGAGCAGAGAAGTCGTTCCTCGAGTCTCCGAGTTCGGACCCGGCGAAAATGATGCCGCCGGAGCTTCAACCCCGTATACAACGTCCGTACATTTCAACCTCTGCGAGCGCTCCGACGTTCTCCAGCTTCAATGGCCGGTACTCACCTGACCGAAGCCCTAACCCGGGCAGCAGCAGTAACAGAAGTAGCACAAGCAGCATCAGATCTTTGAACAATTCTCGCTTTTCTCCGTCTTCTTTCCTCCACAACCCTAGAATTGCTCTCGCTCTTGTTCCTTGCGCTGCTTTCCTCCTCGACCTCGGGGGAACCCCCGTCCTCGCAACCTTAACCCTAGGTCTCATGATCGCTTACATCCTCGATTCCCTCAACTTCAAGTCCGGTTCCTTTTTCGGTGTCTGGTTATCTCTCGTCGCTGCGCAGATCGCTTTCTTTTTCAGCTCCTCTCTCTTCTCCTCTTTTAGCTCCATCCCTCTCGCCATCATCGCTTCATTTCTCTGTGCCGTGACCAACTTCTTGATCGGAGTCTGGGCGTCATTGCAGTTCAAATGGGTACAGATCGAGAATCCTTCCATCGTCCTCGCTCTCGAGAGACTTCTCTTTGCTTGCGTTCCGATCGTTGCTTCGGTCCTCTTCACGTGGGCCACCATCTCGGCGGTCGGTATGGGCCATGCTTCCTACTATCTCATGGTGTTTACCTCTATCTTCTTCTGGTTATTATCTATCCCGCGCGTGTCTTCCTTCAAATCCAAGCAGGACGTCGGTTATAATGGGGGAGAGCTTCCCGGTGAAACCCTCATTCTCGGCCCCCTTGAGAGCTGTATCCATACTTTGTATCTCCTCTTCTTTCCGCTGATCTTTCACGTTGCCTCTCACCACGTTGTCATCTTCTCTTCGGCTGCTTCTATCTGTGATCTGTTTCTTATTTTCTTCATCCCGTTCTTGTTTCTACTCTACGCTTCAACCAGGGGCGCCCTCTGGTGGGTCACGAAGAACACGCACCAACTGCATAGTATTCGAGTTGTGAACGGTGCTGTTGCACTGGTTGTTGTTGTAATTTGTTTGGAGATTAGAGTTGTTTTCCATGCGTTCGGTCGGTACATTCAAGTGCCTCCACCGCTGAACTATCTTCTTGTAACTGTTACTATGCTTGGAGGGGCGTCTGCTTCCGGTGCCTATGCTGTCGGTATGATAACTGATTCTTTCAGCTCGGTGGTGTTCACAGTTTTGTCTATCTTAGTCAGTGCAGCTGGGGCTATCGTTGTGGGCTTCCCATTATTGGTATGTTATTGTTTCTAGGGCTTATAGTGCATGCAAATTTAACCGGATATTACTTAGGTATTAATCAATACACTGCTATATCTTTTCTGCCTTTGCTAGGTCCATTTTACTTGTTGAAAGTTAATTATTTTCCTCATTAGTATTTCAATGCTCCAATCTGAATGTTCTATGGATTACCATTCAAGTGTGTACAAGTGGGTTGGATTCCTAAGTCAAAACCATGGTTGAACCGGTGACATTTTATCTATGCTGTTTTCCACTAACTATAAGAATCCCTCCATGATTTGCAGTAGAGAGGGAAAATCTTGTTAGTCAACCTTCCCATTATCCCATTGTAATTTAATGCTTATTGTATACCAACATTAGGTGCGTCTGTGTGTGTATAAGAACCACAACTTCCAAGTTGAACATATTGCCCACTCAATTGTCTTGGCTGACTTGCATATTCAAAACATCTTAAAATTGCACATCTCACCCATAATCACCTGTTCGGCACCTGACTTGTCTGATTTTCCAAACTTCCATCCTGAATCAAAACATTCACCCTCCTTCATTCTGCTTTTACCTACCATAAGAAACTTGCTACCTTATCAATTTCCCCTAATATCAAATTAACTTATAAACCCCCTCTCATCATGTGTGTTGCTACACTACTTATCCAAAAAAAAAAAAAACCAAGTGTGTTGCTACACCATCCCCCACATGCTTTTTGAATCCTCCTAGTAACTCTTATTAACTAAAATTCCATCTCTCTTATACCATTAATGGTTAATTTTTTAGCACCATCTCTCTTTTCTTAATCCAAAAACACTTTTCTACTAAGCTTTCCGTTACCTAAAAATAGCAATCTCAATTTCTTTTGTAGTTTATCTTATATTTAGAACTTACAGATCTTTCAGGGATTTGTAAAAATGCTTTGTTTATATGATTATTATTGTCCCTTTTGTGCATATTCCAGTTACTTTTTTCTTAAAAGAATGAAACATCTAAATGGTATTAAACTCTCATGCCTTGATGCTTACACCTCACGGATCAAATGCTTTGAGAGCCTCATCTCATGCCTTTCCCCTTCATAAAATTGGTGGAGAGAATATATTTGTATAAATCTTTTTTAAGAAAAATGGTTGCATTTCTGGATTGCGAAACATGTTTAGGGTAGCATATGCTGGGCAGTGGTCAATTTGGAGAATGCGTTTGTGTGGCATCTGCTGAAACCTTTTTGGAGAAGCAATCACGTTCATTACTTTTTATCTGTAGAGAAATGTAGGCTACTGTTAAATTCCTTATATTGTAACATGATGTTTTCTCTGGTTAGAAACCATTCTGCCATACCATTTATTTTTTATTGTCTGAAAGAACATAAATGAAATCAGTAGTTATGAAAATAAAACAAAAAAAAAGCAAAAGCAAAGTGTACTTTACGGTGTATGACACTTCAGAGCCAAAACAGAATTCCTGTAAAATACGAAATCCCTTCTGTGGAAAAATGCCAAAATTGTTAAGAATTAAAGCTAGTCCATTCTTAAACCGCTGGCATTGGCACACAATCCTTTCTTTGCTGCAACTGCACTAACAAATAGAAGTTGGATCCATAGCCCAATTCTAATCACCTGTAGAAAAATATGGCCAAGAGGAAATGATGTCTCTGATGGTGCTGAGGATTGTTTAATGAGAATTGAAAGGAGATAAAAGAAACCTCCAAGAGATGTCCATGGGCATCGAAGTAATAAGTTATGAAAAAAAGCTGTCCATTGAAGGAGGATGAATTGATGAGTAACATGGTGCCATGGTGAGCAGATTAGGCTCATGGGTGGTGGTGAACAAGTTTTTCTGGAAAAGTCCCCGAGCTGAGTAATTGCCAAGAAAACTAATAACAGTCACAAATAACAAGATTCATGAACAGTTCTAGAGAAGTCAGAATTAGAAAATAGCAAATACATAGAGAAACTCAAAAGAGCAAAATTAATGCATTTTTGGAATCCCATAGTCAAAACTACCCTTGGAGGTAAAATGGTCATAAGTTTTCATGGAAAACTCCAAACCGTGCTTTGCCTATTGTGTTGGAAAGTAGACTCATAGGGCTTTCTAGAGACTTGGTTTGCCTTTTGAAAAACACAGGTTTAAGTGTGAAGTGGACCCAAAATATGTGACTGCACATTTTCCAGACAAGCCTTGTATTCAAATTCAAACTTGACCCTTTTCTATGAATGTGGACACTCCGGTGTTAAACTTTCCTACAAGTCTTAACAGCACCATAAGAGTAACTTACTACCATGCTTCCACTATTTTTTTTTGTTACTAAGCTTTTGATAGGCAAATGATAGTGTAACGCTCTGATATGTACTGAAATTCCTTCACTATGTCTTCTAACTATTGAAACATATTTTTTGCACTTCAAATAAGCCAATTCTTCTTTTAATAGTTATTCTAAACCTTGAGAAAATGCTTGCCAATAAGGATCCTTCTAACCTTGTAAGAAGTGAAAACCTCCAATATGATCAATGTTGTTTCCGTTACTTTGAAATTCATTATAGATGATAAAAGATTCCTCTTAAGTGATGGGTTCTTCATCAAAGACTGGTGGACTTTTCCTGATCACTATATTTTTCCTCAAGAATGGTTTTAAAATAGGAGGGGTTCAATTTTCTGTTCATTCTCTTCCACCACCAAAAGAACATAAACTTCATTTGTTTTTTCTAACATCTTTTCAAGTTTAGATTTAGAGGAGTAAGTAATTACCTTCTCTTTAGAAGTCTTTGGATTACTCTCTAATTTGGACGGACACAATATGACTTCATTCCATCTTTTGAAAAAGGATAAGTGTTTTTTGAACCAATCATGAATCCTCCTATCATATTGCCATGCGTGGCCAAGAAGTATGTGACATGCATCCATATGAGCAACATCACACATCACCTCACAATACTTCTTTCCGATGGAAATTCTATCAAGTGTCATTTATCAACTCTTACCTCATTTTCTTTGTAAAGCCATGAGAGCTTGTAAGAGTATTGCTGTTTGTCTATCTTTAGGTTCAGTTTCTCCACTATAATGTAGCTGCTAGCCTCCTACATTAGTACAACTTCCTCCATCAATAATAAGATTACACACCTTGCCATGAAAAAGTGCATCTTATAAGGAAGATATACTCTCAAAGCCAAGCTTCTTCTTCCATATGGACAACGGGCCACATTCAAGTTTTGATGAATGAAAAGAAACTCTCCTTGGTTAGAAGAAGAATGTGAATTTTTCTTGGCCTCTTCTTTTATATCTTCTAAAGTAAGAAAGATCATCTTGTGGTTGGGACAATCTGCAATAATGTGACCAAAACCTTAGCATTTGAAACACCTAACCTGCTTAACATTGGAAGAGCTTGGTTGGATACAATTAGCCGCACCATCTTTCTTAAAATGGCTGTAATATGCTTGGAAGCCGAGATACTCCCTTGCTTAGAGTTAACATGATCGAGAAATTGATAGCTCCTCCCATAGGCCTCCTTAAGTTGCCACTCCACTTTAATTGCAAGCTTGATAACATCTTTTAAGTCCAATATGGTTGCAATTCTTCCACTCTGCTTGTTTCTGCTCGTAACCTACCAAGATAACAAGCAATTGTGTGCTTTTCCTCACTATCATCACACTGCATCATGAGGGCAATATATTCTTCCACTATCATCTCCTTTTGCCTACAATTATGAAATTTGAAAAAGCATATTGGCAGTAATTCTCATGCAGGAATTTCTTTTTCTTCTTAGTCTCTTTCCTCATCTTTTCCCATGTTACAATTTGACTCTTTCGTTCATGAGCTCATCGGTTTTTGAGGTACTCCCACCAAATTGAAGCATGCTTCTTCAATTTGATGGCCATAAGCTTCACCTTGAGATGATTGTGTGCATCTTTGTAGTCAAGGACTCATTCAATGGTGTGAAGCCACTCTATGAAGTTATATGGTTGCATCCTTACTTCAAATTCTGGAATTCCACCTTGATGTTCAAAATCTCATTAGAAGCTATTGTTCCTTCGAGCATCACAGGGAAAAGCCTCTTTGCTCGTCACTTCATGATTGAAGGGGTTAATCTCTTCTCGATCCTCACGAAATTTTTTATCCTTTGAATCATGATGTGACTCATCATGACTTTAGGCTTCAAAGCGCTCTAGATTTTGTTAAAGTTGCTACAATTACCTCCTCAACTCGTTCATTTCAACATTGCATAAGTCTCACTCACATAGAGGAGGATCACCACGACCACGTCAATGAACCATTCCAACAATCGAGAACTGTTAAATCCCAAAGGTACAAATGACACTTTGATACCAACTTGATGCTAGAGAAGTTCTCACAATGAGGCAGTGATTTAAAAGGCACACCTAGGTTCTAGGCGCAACATTTTCAAAAGCCGCATGCTTGGACATAGACATGGGAATCAGAATCTGACGTGGAGGAGTTCAATAGGTGACTCCCCCCCCCCCAAATGTTGCACATAAATAATATTACAATGTACATGGATGGTGTTTTTGCCTATTTGCCATGTGGCTACACTAGTTGTAGGGCTGCAAATGGATTAAATCAAAACGGCTATATGTATTATTATTTGAATTCAAATCGGATCTTATCCATTGGATTTATATTGAATTTGGATTGCAATCAGATATTGAATAGTAAGAATAAATTAAACTAAAAACGACTTTGATATTGTATTTCATGAGCAAATTGAATTGAAAATTAGTTGTATGAAACTTGAACCTAAAACTATTTAGTAAATACACAACAATAAAACCAACATTACTAGAAGATACAATATTACTTTCTTTTAAGCATTGGATAGGGATATGGATACATATTTGATCCAATTATAATATTTGATCGCCCTTAATGGGATCGAATTTGAATTCGAACTCAAACAATTGGATACAATTTGCAGCCCTAACTAGTTGTTTTCCTTTTTTCTCCTAATAATATTTATCAGCAAAGATCCAATAAACAATAAGTTATATATAAATGGGGACATGTGGTAAAATCTTGGGCTGTCAAGCATGAGAACGTGGGTTTGAGTCTTGAGAGTGGTAATTTTGTGCATAAAAATATCATTTATTAGGATTTTAACCAGTCCACCTCTCCTAACTAGTTGTTTTCCTTTTTTCCCCTAATAATATTTATCAGCAAAGATCCAATAAACAATAAGTTATATATAAATGGGGACATGTGGTAAAATCTTGGGCTGTCAAGCATGAGAACGTGGGTTTGAGTCTTGAGAGTGGTAATTTTGTGCATAAAAATATCATTTATTAGGATTTTAACCAGTCCACCTCTCCTAAGTCACCAGATGGCTGGGACCAACATCGGGTAATGGCCTTTTCTTGTTGGACATAATTTGCACTGTAGCTCGGACCAGCATTTTGGTAAATCCACATACTTCGCACTGTAGCTGAGTCCTATGTATTTTGAAGACTCAGATGTGAGTCTACTCGTGGGCTTGTGCATGGCATCCATGCCAAAGCTGCTTTGGAGATTACCATTATCAACGTACTGAAAGGTCATTGAGCAAATAAATTCCAACATTACCGTCTCATACCTTGCTTTTCCTATTTGACATTTTGTTGATTGATTGTCTGAAAGACTAACAGAGATACTTTTACATAAGACCTCTGATCCTTGGTGATACATATGCCTGGATAACCTTCTTTGCTTCCTTGTATTGAGGTGCGTGTGATTCTTGATTTTGGGGAATGTGCAATTTGAATAGGGATGTAGTAACACTAAAGTTGTTAATTTTCTTATATTTTGCAGTTCCTCCCACTTCCTTTGATCTCTGGCTTCTATGTAGCTCGATTTTTTACAAAAAAGAGTTTACCATCATATTTTGCATTTGTGCTGCTTGCAAGCTTAATGGTTTCATGGTTTGTTCTGCACAACTTCTGGGACCTCAACATTTGGTTGGCTAGCATGCCCCTGAAGTCATTCTGTAAGCTGATAGTTGCAAATGTCATCCTAGCTATGGTTGTTCCGGGTCTTGCCCTCCTTCCCCCAAAACTTCGTTTCTTGACTGAGGTTGGTCTTATCAGCCATGCATTGCTTCTATGCTTCATTGAAGATCATTTTTTCAATTATTCCAGCATATACTACTATGGCATGGAAGAGGAGGTGATGTATCCAAGTTACATGGTTATCGCAACAACTTGTGTGGGCTTGGTGTTGATGAGGAGGCTAGCTGTGGATCACCGAATTGGACCAAAGGCAGTTTGGATCTTGACTTGTCTCTATTCTTCAAAGCTTGCAATGCTCTTTGTTACTTCAAAGTCTGTTGTATGGGTGACAGCTGTGTTGCTGTTGGCTGTTTCACCCCCATTGCTTCTTTACAAGTATTCACCAGTGACATCAGTCTTCTCATTCTCATGTTCCTTATTTTCATATTTCTGTAATTCATATGGAATCAAAATCTTTTCTTTTTGTAACTGAACCCCATTCTTTCGTGAATGTGCAGGGATAGATCTAAATCAACTTCAAAAATGAAAGCTTGGCAGGGTTATTCACATGCTGGTGTGGTGGCTTTATCTGCCTGGCTTTGCCGTGAAACAGTCTTCGAGGTTCTTCAGTGGTGGAATGGGAGACCTCCATCCAATGGATTGCTTTTGGGTTCCTGTATTCTTTTGACCGGACTTGCCTGTATACTTATTATTGCTCTCCACTTTCCACATGTGCAGGTATTAATCGTTTTGACCAATCAGTTTGTTATTTACTCCTTTCTTTTAAAAAACGGCAAAGAGTCCTTCACCAAGATAATCTCTAGTATTCGTAATTTGTCTCCAAAAAGTTTTTGAAGAATGCTTGTATAGTGTTTTTGATACAAAATATTGCTGCAAAACTTCTACCTATAGACATGGTAAGACCCATGAACAGACATATCCCTAGGCAAAGTTGGGTGTCTTTTCATGGATTCCACCTTGTCTATATATATGATGAAGAAATCCAAGAGTTGCATGCACTCGTTTTGTCACGCTACATTCTTTATTCTTTCTTGGTTTATCCTAACCAAATGAGTTTCTCATCCTTGTACAGTCTGCCAAGCGATTCCTCCTGTTAGTGGTGGCAACAGGTCTGCTGTTTATTCTCATGCAGCCTCCCATTCCATTGTCATGGGTCTTCCATTCAGACATGATCAGAGCTGCTCATCAGTCTACTGATGATATTTCTATCTATGGTTTTGTGGCATCAAAGCCTACATGGCCATCATGGCTACTTATGACAGCAATCCTACTCACACTAGCAGCAATTACATCCATTATTCCAATCAAATACATGGTTGAGTTGAGAGCATTTTATGCAGTTGGTGTGGGGATTGCACTGGGTGTGTATGTATCTGCTGAATACTTTCTCCAGGCAACAATCTTGCATGTGCTTATTGTTGTGACTGTGGTATGCACCTCTGTCTTTGTGGTCTTCACCCATTTTCCATCTGCTTCAAGCACAAGATTCATGCCATGGGTTTTTGCCCTACTGGTGGCTCTGTTCCCAGTCACATACCTATTGGAGGGACAGATAAGAGCAAGAAACATTCTTGGGGAAAGTGGAATTGCAGTGGAAGATGACAGCAAACTTACTACACTACTGGCAGTTGAAGGGGCAAGAACATCGTTGTTGGGGTTATATGCTGCAATCTTTATGCTTATTGCACTGGAGATAAAGTTTGAGCTAGCTTCACTTATGCGTGAGAAGGCACATGACAGAGGAGGCATGCACAATCAATCTGGCCGAAGCAGTTCTGGTTTTACTCCAAGGCCGAGGTTCATGCATCAGCGAAGAGCGACGACTGTGCCAACCTTCACAGTTAAGAGGTTGGCAGCTGAGGGAGCTTGGATGCCTGCTGTTGGTAATGTTGCTACAGTTATGTGCTTTGCTATCTGCCTGATATTGAATGTCAACATCACTGGTGGATCAAATCGAGCTATTTTCTTCTTGGCACCAATCCTGCTGCTGCTCAACCAGGATTCAGACTTCATTGCCGGATTTGGCGACAGGCAAAGGTATTTCCCAGTGACAGTTGTCATCTCGGTCTACTTAGTTTTGACTGCTGCATACAGGATTTGGGAAGAAGTTAGGCTCGGGAATGCTGGGTGGGGCCTGGAGATAGGAGGACCAGATTGGTTCTTTGCGGTAAAGAATGCAGCTCTCCTTGTTCTTACCTTCCCCAGCCACATCCTTTTCAACCAGTTCGTGTGGAGTTACACTAAGCAGACTCACTCTACACAGTTGCTTGCAATGCCGCTTAATATACCATCTGTCATAATCACAGATGTAATCAAGGTTAAGATATTGGGGCTATTAGGAATCATATACTCTCTGGCCCAGTATCTAGTCTCTAGGCAACTCCATATTACCGGATTGAAGTATATTTAAACCATAGACATCATACTCTGTAACATATGTTTTGAGCAATTTTCAAGTGAGCTGTGAAAGTTTGAGTTTTCTGCCTGTTTTATTATTCTACATTGTTTCTTTTCCTTGCATGTATGGAGGAATGCTCGAAACCAGAGACCATAGTGCCTATTTATTTGGCAAAAACACCGACTTCACTACGGGCCGATGTAAAATCAGTTGTGAGAGTTTGAGTTTTCAGCACTCCTTGTGTACCCTATTTATGGATGGCGCCGTTTCTTGTGCTGGTGCTGGAATCGGACTGTCAGTCTGAGTGCTATTCAACACCGTTCGAACTGCCTCTCCCAACTTTGCATTGGGAATATCCCCTCATAAAATAAGGCACCAACAAGGAAWGGCTGTTCCAACAGCGTTGCACTGACCGAAGCCAAACTCTTAAGTTTATGGGTTGGGTTTGGGTTGCTACAGACTTTTTCTACTTTTGCCAAATATTTTAAATTATTAATTAATGAAAATTCAATTTTTATCATTATCATATGTAAAGGGGCATGATCAATTTTATCGTTATCAAAAATTGCCCTTGTCAGCTATAATCCTTTAATTTTTTAATCCCATGTTTACCCCTACTTAAATGACTCGGCATGGGGCAAATCGTCCCTTCTCTCAAATCTCCAAACATTGAGTTGAGGCAGAGGAACGAACTGAAGAAAATTATACCACAGTGCAGAGAATAGCAGCGAAGACACCGGAATCATCACAACCACCCACCATAAAATGTAGCGCTGCCCAAAACGGTCTCCTCCACCCCTCACCTCCTCTTCTACTGCCAGTAAGTAACAATCCGCCGGAAAACCCATCAAACGAGGACCAGTAGAAAACGTCTGCTTTTGCATCTCCCTTCTCCACCCTCCATCGACAATTTTGGAACTTTGGACACTGCTCCATCTACGGCGGCTTCCAAATCCACGACCACAACCACCTTAAGATCGTCTGGTAGCACTACCCCCTTTCTCCCCTTCCTTGTCCACTTCTGAGAACACGTAAAATATGATTTTATTTTAGTAAATATAATCATAAAAATCTCTCCTATAATTTTATTTTAGTAAAAACCTCTGAATTTTTAAAGAATTCACCAAAAATCTCCTTTCCATCATTAATTCAGATAGAAAACCATTAAATTACGAAAATGCCCCTGTTTAATCGTTAGGACATCATTAAAATATTTCAAAATATTGGAATCGTAAAAGTTTCAAAATATCGATTCCTAATTTAGCTTTAAAGAAGATTATTCAGCAGTTCGTTTGGTTTTAACAACCGAATACCTGTGGCTGAAACAGGTGGTAGGAGTCGTGACATTACAAGGACGATTTTTGTCGGCAGTCTGGCAGGTGTAGAATCCATGAAAATGCTTGCCAAGTTTTTAGCCGATGGCTTACAAAAGGGACGGGTGAAGAGAGGAAGGTCGCTTATGAGATCCAGTTACTTGTAAAATCAAGCATATTCAACAGGTCTTGCTTGGCAGATGCAGCACAATATCCAATTTATTGAAGCTTCTATCCACCACGGATCCATCAATCCAAGAGAATGCCATGGCAGCCCTGTTGAACCTTTCAAACCATTCCAAGAGCAAAATGTTAATTGTCAAGAACAATGGATTGGGATTGATTTTGGACGTTCTAAGAGGATGAGGAGTACAGGAAACATGGGATTGATTTTGTCAAAAACATTCTAGCAGCTGCTACATTTTTTTATCTTCAGTTGAGGAGTACAAGAAATTAATCGGAGAGATGCCAAATGCAATCTCTTCCTCGGTAGAGCTGATGAGGATTGGAACAGCTCGTGGGAAAAAGAATGCTTGTGAGGAGAAAGCAAACCACCGCTAGTAGCGGTGGTCAAAAGAAACAAAGGAAGGGAAAACATAAAGAAAAAGAAACAGAAGATGGGGAAGAAGATAAAAAGAGGAAGAGAGAGAAATAAACGAAAAAAATAGGAGAGGGAAGAGAAGAGTAGAGAGAAAGAGAGAGCTTTGAGGAGGTTGCCGTTGTTAGTTGTGGAAACTTTGTTCACTGCCGCTGTGAAGAAAATGAGCAGTGCCTTTCGGTTGCTCCGGCTTGATGGAAGAGAGGAGGGACAATAGGGACGGAGAAGAGAGATGGAGAGAGAAGAAATCAAGGACAAAAACTAGTGAGGGGAGATTGGGGAAAGGATATCTTGTTGTTCCCTCGTTTTATGACAAGAGGAAGGGGAAGCAAGGGCAATTCCGATATTTTGAAATATTTTAATGATGTCGTAACAATTAATCAGCAGAGGTAATCTTATAATTTTAATGGTTTTCCGTCTGGATTAGTGACCGAAGTGAAGTTTTTATAGAAACCATAAGAAAGGTTTTTATGATTATCAGAAACTTTAAGGGTGATTTTTGTATGTTACCCTTCGGGTTTTCAAACACACCATTTGCAGCTAGCGGAACAACAATAGCCAGAGAATTAATCCTTGTTTGTGACGCCATAATCTAAGTTGCTTGTAAATATAAGTCTTGGATTGGAGGCACTCCGCACTGAGCTGAGTCCAGAGATGATATGGTGAAGCGTTTACAAACTAATAACGAATGCGGCAAAACTGGGATTATAATTAAATGTAGAGGCTCTCACAAGTCACGACCTTCTCCGGCATATCGTAGAACCCCAATCGTCAGATCCTGTCTCGGCTTTTCAAGAGTCGAACTTCGGCTACTGTGTAGTCCTCCCTTTCGGTACTCTGTGACCTACCACTATGTGTTCTTTCCAGTTCAGTCTAATCAAATCAAGTTGGGTCCGTTTAGCAGCTTGAGAATTCGAAGTAGGTTTCCTGTTTCAAGTTGGAAACCCATTTTAATTTTTGCGACATTTCTTTGGTGGTGGCAGAGAACATGGCATGTTTGAAAATTTTAATGAACGGTTAATGGTATTTTGGTCTTATAGATTTAATTTGTTGTTAGACTTAACCTTTGAAGGAAGGTGGTACACATAAGTCAAGAGAAATTTAAATAGAAAATGACTGTGCTGCAACATATGCAGGTGACAGGGGTGATAGTAAAAAGTGGTCTAAACCTTATCCAAGATTTTCGGAGTGGCATTTTCTTCATATTTTAGTTGATTCAGTGTGTTTGGTTTGAAGGAAAAAGTAGGAAAAGATAGAAAAACCTTAACAAACCTTTTATAGATTTTCTTAATGGATTCAGAACCTAACAAACCGAGACATAGATAGTTCTGTTTGATTCTCTTCTGGTTGTTTTTAATAATATATTCCATGTATTTTCAGATGATATATAGACTTGATCCCGGCAGGCGCCCGTGGTTGTTTTCTTTTGCTCTGTTTTATTGTTGCTTTAGTAGGCGAGCGCGTCGTTTTTTCTGTTAGTTTCTTGTCAACGTCTTTTAACCGTAAGCGGTATCCCGTTGCTGTTGTCTTTCTGCTTGGAACCAAGTTCATCTCCTCTATGTAATGTTGTGGCCCAGTGATGTCGTGATGGAGCTAAAGCCATGATTCACAGTTTTATGTAGCTAAAGTAAACTCGGGAATCCGGATCTTTTTCTTTTATGGGTCAGGGGATCCGCATCTACTATTCATACTCTACCCACACGCCACAATGTGACCGTTCATCCACCAACATCATTATATGCTTTTTAGACRGGGGGTATCTCAATGACAATAATGTAAATACAATGACTTTTTAACATTTTCATWTTTTTTTTTGTCATTTTACAAAAATTTAACTTGTTTTTTAGGAGAAGTAGGTAGTTGAATAGTATCAACACATTATAAAGGTTAAGCACGAGATCCCCTCTATACAAACTTATATGTTTATGTTTATAATCATTTTATGCAATACAAAGAGTTTTTTGTCTAATTTGTATGCATTTATTGTTACCTTATTGCTTACTTTCTTTACATTATAGGCTTACTTATTGATTCATGGGTGCCGCATGGGGCCCCAACATAGCCCCGTGACAACAAGGCATTAGAGCATGTGAACATCCTGGTATTTGGATATACTTCAAATCCCAATTTCATGCTGCAAAGTGCAAATATTTCTTTCTCTCTCTCCACATTTGGAGGAGTTATTTGTAAGGGTGCAACTTAGACGACTCAAACTGAACTTGACTCAATCCAACCCAACTCAACTAAAATTGGATTGGGTTTGGGTTTAGGTCTTAAATGGCTCGAGCATCACCTAAACCAACTCAAGCCCATCTGAACAAATACATACATATATGTGTTGATTATACTACTTTTAAATGAGGCCATAAAACCCAATAAATGATGGCTATAGAAAAATCTATACATAAATTTATTTTAAACGAACTAAGCCTGGCCTGAATTGTATTTGGATTAAGTTCAGGTTAGGCCTGGATTGATAGACTTCGGCTTAACCTCAGATTGGGGCAAAGTCTGATCCCAAGATTCGTACCTTTAGAGTTAGGCTTGGGGACTTTCAATCTGACCCAACCCACCCGTGTTGCATTTTTACCCCTGCACGTTTGCTTCAAACTGATCCAAAAGTTTCGATGTATTTGAAGCGGGTGAATTTTAGATTAATTCCTAAATGGAAGTCTCGATATGTACCTACCATCTGTTAAGCGAAACCAACCAGGTCATGTACCTATTGTGCTCATCGCATCATTTCCGCCTATTGTAGTGGAGACTCGGGATCAAATCCAACCTTCACTAGGGTTTGGGGGTTATGGGCCACCCCTCGTTATGTGAGATGGGATCACCTGCCAATAAAATACGTTCCAACACCCTATCAACTACATCTGATACCACGCATCTCATACATGGCAGATTGCAGTTTTATAGAGAGGTATACAGTGTCAGATCAAGTTGGTAATTAGGGTGTTGGAACTTGTTTTGTTAGCAAGTCATCCCAACTCTTGTTATGTAGCCCAATGGAGCAAGAAAAACAAAAATTAAGGCCCTGTTTTGTGTCTTTCCACGCGATCTTTCAGCTGTTTACAAATTGAGTAGGTTGTGCCGCGGTCTTTTTCCATTTGGTTCATATCAGATCTATCTGTCAAAAGTCGGTGCACCAAAAAGACACAAAAAAACCCATTTTG